GCGTCAATTTGGTATGTTATGTGCGCAAACTTTGCTATATAAATGCTATCAATTTGTGGACACTTTTTGATAAAACAAGGTTTATTCCAAATTTGTACTAAATTTGCCAATAAATCTTGTAAGCAAATCTTTGGCTTTATTTGGCAGAACAGATTTGGCTATCTGGGTAATTATCTAATTTGATACTAATTTTATATTATATTAATAACAGATCACGAGTTTGCATATTTGTTATTAAAATACGCAAAAGAAAGTACGAGCGTAAAATATTTGAACAAAGTGCTATCACAGTCAGGTAAAAATTTATTTCTGTTCTTTATTAATGATTCATTTATTTGTAATATTGTATATTCTCTTATAAAAAATGTAATTATAAAAAATTAAATATTTTATAGATAGTACAGATGATGGAAGTAAAACTAATGATGAAGACAATATGACTCCAGACAATCTATCAAAAGGTAAACTGGAATAAATATAACTGGAATAAATGTCTTAAGAAAAAAATAACATTATTTGATTCATTTAGATTTACATATATGGACAAGGTCTGAAACATTATTACTCATAAATATGTACAAAAATTATATCGAAAAATGCACCAAGAAAGTACCCTCAAAACAATGTTGGAATATTATTTCTAAACAACTGGGAGATGCAGGATATAAAATATCTCCTGTAAAGTGTGCTACTAAATTTCAGTCCTTAAAAAGAACGTATAAAACTGTAACAGATCACAACAAAAAATCTGGAAACAGTAGAAAAAATTAGGAACATTATAAGTTATGTTATTAATTAAGATTGTAGAAAGCTTGCAATTTATAACAAAACTATTAACAATATTTTCCTTTTTACATAAGTATTTTAATGAAATGTAGAACTAAGAAAATAATTTTTCAATTTCAGATTATGCACGAGATATTCAGCACAAAGCCATGGATCCAACCCATATCAGAAGCTGGTTATGGTGTTACTATAACACATAATATAGAAAACGAAGACCTAAAAGGTATTCTATTTTATATATGATTTTATATAATATGTGATTATGTGTAGCGTAACTCATATTAATATATATGTAATGGTAGGGTTTTTATATAGTGTAACTCATAACACAAATGTCTGCAAAATATTTTAAGGATATCTTAGAAACATAATTTTTAGGATATTCCTAAAATTTAGAACATTTGTGTTCTGTAAGTGAATATGGGACTCATTAAAAGTGAATAGGATCTTAAAAATAAATTATATAAAATATATATATGCATATATATATGAATGCCTTTTACTAATATTTACTTTTATTACAGTATCGAACAAACCAAGTCACGCAATATAGAATTATTTTGAAAAATCCATAGAATTGAAAAAAGAAAAGGAAAGGAATATTCAACAGAGATACGAAGAAAAAATGGCTTACTTGAACAAAATAGGAAATCTATTGACAAAAATGATCGATAAATAATTGATATGTATGTTGTGATACAAAGTTTAATAATTTTATTTTAGTTCCTATGCATAAAACTATACATGTGATAATTCTGCAGTATTACTTTGTTTTGTTTTATATTTAAAAATATGTTGTAAAAGATGTGATAAATAAAGGAATATAAGAATTTTCGTTTTGAGTTTAAAAAGTTTATAGAAAGGAAATAAGGTAATAGAAAGGAAAATATTATATAAACTACTGTAATTTTATTACACAAAATATTAATAATGTTCATTTTGTAAAGAATACATAATTGCGTTGCGTTTGTCAATCCCTTCTTGTCGTAAACCTTCGAACATTGTTCTATTTTGAGCTGCACTTTGTACAAATTCATCTTCTACAATTATAGGTATATCTATGTGATCATTTTTTATTAAACATATATTGTGCAGAATGCAGCATGCAACGATATATTTCGGAATTAAAGCAGTTCGTTTCATAGGCAATATATCCAAAATGTTTCTGAATCTTCCCTTCAATAAGCCTATTGCTCTTTCGATCATCATTCTGGCTTGAGACAATCGGACATTATATGTGGTTTGTGCATCACTTAAATATCAATTGTCTTTAAATGGGGTCATTACATATTTTTGTATGCTATATGCAGCGTCACCCAACAAATGACTATTTTCAGGGAAGTTTTGCGTTGTACACCAGTTTTCAACACCTGATAATCGAAAAATTTTCATATCATGGACCGATCCTACCTGTCCTGCATAAACGTGGGTGAATTGTAATTCATGATCACATATTATCTGCAAAAAAGAATAATTATTTCAAAGAGAGAATAAAAAATGAAACAAAAATGTAAGATAGAAATCCCAAATAGAAAAATGACATATACATCTTATTTTAAATTACAAGAATCATTTTTATTTTTAATAACTGGTAATTTGTTAATTTTTTAGGATCAGCTGTTTTAAATTTAAGATAAATATAGTAGATACTTAAAATCTGCAATTATTAATAAGAAAATAATAATAAATAATTATTATTAAAACAAATACGAAGAACTGTTTTTCTACACTCAAACGCAAAAAACCCGGTACACTAAAAATTTGGGAAAAAATTACAAAATTTCAAATGATCATAACTTGGTAAATAATGAAGATACAAATATGCGCAGAAATGCAAAATGAAGCTTGAAACGTCCTCTTTAAGAATATCTGAATGGCAATTATGCTCGGCCATTTTTTTCAAAATGGCGGATGATAAAGTGAGAGGATGCAAAATTGATAATCAAAGGTCCGTGTTTGCGATGGTGCATGGTGTGCATCAGGTATCGCAGCGTAATAGGACCAAATGCACATGAAAGTATAAAGTGTTATCTTTCAAATGCTACTTTACCGAGCTCGATGTGATCATTTTTCACTGAGTTGTTACAAATTTTGCTAAAAATGCGGTTTTCTTGTTAAATTTGCATAATTCAGTGAATAAGTATCGCATCAAGCTCTATAACGAAGTATTTTAAAGAAAACATTCTATACTTTTAGGTACTTTTCGTCCCATTGAGCTGCGACACTTACTTTGCTCCATGCGCCGTCGCACGCTCGAACCTTTTCTTAGCAATTTTTCATGTTCTCCTTTTTATCACCCGCCATTTTGAAAAAATATCGTTGCGCACAATTTCGATAGATCTTTCGAAAAGTACGGTTTCAAAGCTTTCAAACCGTTTTTGAAATTTGCTGCTAGGATATTTAGGTGTCGAGATATTCAATTTCGAATTTGCAACAAATGTCGATTCAGCGAGGCTTAAGGGGCTAAGAGGCTCTGCGGTTCGTTTGGCTCTTTCATAATTTCAATAGCTGTGTTCATGTTTGTCTATATAATAATTTACATAACCTGCACAATATATTCAATGATTTGCATTTATTATTTTGAAAGCCAGGGAAATGAAAGTAAAATTCAATTTAGGTTCTTCATTTTGCGTAATCGATATTACGTAATAAAGATGAATTGCGTCTTAAGATACCGCTGTCATTAGCTCAAATTATGGTTGTAAATCTTCCCAATATAAACCGCATAGAGTTTTACTGGTAGGAAAAGTCCCATTGTATGTAGTGTGTGTGTGTGTGTGTGTGTATGTGTGTGTGTATACCACAAGGATAAGGACCCCGTGGTTCGTCAGCTCCACAGTATTTCAAAATTTCACACCCTCCTTGTGGTGTGTGTGTGTGTGTGTGTGTGGTGTTACAGCAGAGATAAGGACCCCGCAGTTCGTCACTCCTGCAGTAATTAATGACTCCAAACCCTCTCTGCTGTGTGTGTAGTGTGTGTGTACTAATAGTGAGTATGACTGCCTCGTGCGCGTATTACCTCATTCATACAATCAGGCATACTCCTTATTAGTCTTTTAATTTCATCCTGTGTAATTGTATTCCATTCGTTTTCGAGAATTATTCGCAGTTCTCGCAGTGACTGAGGAGTAGGTACGTGATTTCGTACTTTCCTGCCGAGGTTGTCCCATAAGTGTTCGATTGGATTTAAATCTGGACTATTTGCTGGCCAATCGAGTCGATTTATGCCAACTTCATCGAAGAAATCAAGCACTCTTCTCGCAGTGTGTGATCGAGTATTGTCTTGCATAAACAAGTTCTCTCCGATGAAGGGTGCGTACGGAACAACATACGGAATGAGTATGTCTTCCACGTATACATCTGCGTTCATATTCTTGTCAAAAAAGTGTAGATCTGTATGAGCATTAGCTGAAATTCCTGCCCAAATCATTACAGAGCCTCCATTGTAGCTATGCCTCTCACTTACCGTACAGTCTGCAAATCGTTCTCCACCGCGACGATAAACTCGTTCTCGTCTGGAGAATCTGGAGAATAGACACAAAAACGAGATTCATCGCTAAAGAGTACTTTGCTCCAGTCTGCGTAAGTCCAGTCTCTATGCTCAACTGCAAAATTGAGTCGAGCTACGCGATGGTGACATTTAAGCAAAGGTACAGCTGCTGGCCTGCGCGAAAGCAGATTTTGTTCCTTTAATCTTCTCCGAACGGTGTTAACGGATACATTAATGTTGCGGACATCCCTTAAATTGTTTCTAATTTGAACAGATGTTCGATGTCTGTCTCTTAACGAATTTGAAACAATAAATCGGTCATCATTGTGATTGGTACATCGAGGACGTCCCGAACCAGACCTTCTATGGAAAGAATTGGTTTGTAAGTACCTGGCATAAGCACGTTGCACAGTTGACACTGATAAATCAAGTGCCTGAGCAACGTACCTTCGACTTCTGCCATCTTCAATTAAAGCAATAACTTGAGCAGCCTTTTCAGGATTTATCGTCGCCATAATCGACGCAATAATTTCGATGCGAAACAATCAATTATGGTTTAAATTGATGAAGTTGCACGAAGCAACGCGCCTCGAAAGGAAAAGATCACGAAAAAAGAAAAGTCGCACGAGGCAGCGCTTATCGGAGTGAACACGTTCGGAAAAGGAAAATTGTTTGTCTTTGTTTATTGTCTTGGCACATACATTTAAGAAAAATCCAGTCAAGCCAGGCGTTAAAGCCCGGCGCATCGACAGAATCTCAGTCAAGCCAGAACGTAAGCCCGGCGTACTGACAAACTCGCGAAGTCCAGCGTACAAGAAATAGTGCCACTATCGGCGGTGGACCGTACGAAGGCCAAAAGCTGTACGAAGGCAATCTCTGATCGTCTCCGCAGGCACTTTTATATGCCCTGGGCAGCTCGAACTCGCGTGCGAGCCGAGGGGCTCGCGCGCGCGACAACCCAGATCGCCGCGTCGCGGCGGCTCCGTGGACTAGGAGCGCCAGGGGAATTTCGACGTTCAGGTGGCGTCCAGCGACTCGGCATCCCGCGCGCCGGGTCACCGCGAACTCAGGCGCGATCCTGAACAGCATATTCAAGCTGTGTACCATAATGGCCAATCGTACGGAGAAGGTAGAGAGCTAGGGACAGCTTCGCGAACTAAAGTGTATACCACAGTGATCATGCGTAACTGAAGGGTAAAACATGATAACTTTTGATAAAAATTAAATTTCCAATTCGCAAAATTGTGTAAATTATTGTATAGAGAATAATGAACGCGGCTGTTGAAATTATGAAAGAGCCAAACGAACCACAGAGCCTCTTAGCCCCTTAAGCCTCGCTGAATCGACATTTGTTGCAAATTCGAAATTGAATATCTCGACACCTAAATATCCTAGCAGCAAATTTCAAAAACGGTTTGAAAGCTTTGAAACCGTACTTTTCGAAAGATCTATCGAAATTGTGCGCAACGATATTTTTCCAAAATGGCGGGTGATAAAAAGGAGAACATGAAAAGTTGCTAAAAAAAGGTTCGAGCGTGCGTCGGCGCATGGAGCAAAGTAAGTGTCGCAGCTCAATGGGACGAAAAGTACCTAAAAGTATAGAATATTTTCTTTAAAATACTTCGTTATAGAGCTTGATGCGATACTTATTCACTGAATTATGCAAATTTAACAAGAAAACCGCATTTTTAGCAAAATTTGGAACAACTCAGTGAAAAATGATCACATCGAGCTCGGTAAAGTAGCATTTTAAAGATAACACTCTATACTTTCATGTGCATTTGGTCCTATTACGCTGCGATACCTGATGCACACCATGCACCATCGCAAACACGGACCTTTGATTATCAATTTTGCATCCTCTCACTTTATCATCCGCCATTTTGAAAAAAATGGCCGAGCATAATTGCCATTCAGATATTCTTAGAGGACGTTTCAAGCTTCATTTTGCATTTCTGCGCATATTTGTATCTTCATTATTTACCAAGTTATGATCATTTGAAATTTTGTAATTTTTTCCCAAATTTTTAGTGTACCGGGTTTTTTGCGTTTGAGTGTATATAAGAAATATTTAAAATCTTCAGCTGTCACAATTATCTTATTAAGTCAATTTGAATGTTGAAAACATATAATAATTTTAAACATACCTGTAACTGTATGGACTGATATCCTTTTCTATTTATATAAGCATCCGAATCTATTTTTGGTTTTGCAATTTTTATGTGAGTACCATCTATTGCTCCTATAACTTTAGGAAACGAATATTTGTTTTTAACATATGTCCATATTTCCTTTGCTCTTTCCCTATCTGGTCATGTAATAAATGTGTCAAGGTCCAAATATAGTGTTGATAACCTTTTGAACATATCTCCAAGCCAACATCGAAACGATCAGCAACACATCTATATTATAAGATAACCATTAAATGTCAAATATTGAAATTATATTTTATTTTAACAAGATGTAATGTTAGCTATACATATACAGCAACCTAAAACCGGTTTAGCAACATCAGTAGGAATAAAGTCTGTTCTTTTTAGGTTGCACTTTTTGCTTTTAAACTGAAATATTTATATAGTGTTGAAAGGAAAAAGAATTAAGTTTCCATGTACCACTGATTTAACTAAGAAGAATAGGTTTATAGTTTATGTTTATATGTGTGTTATGTGTGAGTAACATTAACTTATCAATTTAAATAAATTAGGCCATTTTTGAAATGTTAACTCTATATATATTTTGTATGGTATATTTATAATAATATATAATATCAATATATTAAATTACTAAATTAATTTTAAGCTCTTCATATAAACATAGATTAGGATATTATTATATCAATTTTAAGTTGCTATGTAAACGTAGTTATTAATAAATTTAAAGAGGTTTTTATAATAAGCTACTAGTTGTCATAATGCGTAATACGTAATGAAATAAACTAGAGTCCTTCATTCTATATCTAGGATAGAAACGAAAGATTTTCATTGGTTCACTTCCTTATGCATGATGCATTATTATAATGAACACTTTATTATAGAAAGCCCTTAACTTACCTGTACGAATTAGAAGTTGCCATCATCCATATTGCTAATAACAATGTTTTTTCTGCTGATATTGTATGCCATATCTTTCAGATTGCTTTGATAATTGTGAACTCAGTATTTCTAAAATAAATCTAAATGTTGGTCAACTTAAGCTATACCAAACATATAAACACATTAATATTATATTTATTCTATATTTATTTCTATATTTAAATTGGTTACATTTAAATTTAAATTTTCCAAAATAATTTTTGTATTATAACAGATAGCACAACATATCCTAAGTCTAATATTCATAGTCGAATCTTATATTTTATGCTCATCTTAAATTCATCTTCAAATACTCCATAGTCAATAAAATGGTCTATACAGTACTTAAAAAGATAACCTTAAGCATTCTTAAATAAAAGATCTGACTATATCAGTCTAAGATCTTTTATATTCTACAAATTTAAAATATTTCTTACAATTTTCTAACCATGTCTACAATGATTTAGGAACATTATGCCATCAAGATTATATATATATATATATATATATACATATATATATGTGTGTGTATATTCTTTTTTAATTGAATGAAGTAATTGCTAATCTACAGGACAGTAACAACGAAGAATTTCTAAGAATAAAATTTATTTTGTGTTATTATAAGTTTAAAGTTCAATGTTATATAAACATGTTATATGAACATAAGTTATATATATTTCAGTGTTATATATAAAAGGTTGGAATAAAAGTAAAATAAACATATTTTTTATTATTGTAATTTATTTCAAAGACACTATAAAGTAGAAGAAATATAAAAGTTATAAATGATTTCAAAATTCGTAATTTCAAAATTATATCTTATGTCAGGTTGATTCTAATGTTAAAACTATAATAAATATATCTGAGAGTGATAAAAGAGAGTATGCCTGACATATAGATACTTTGTTTACTCAACGGATCAGCTATGGGTCTTACATGTCGGACGGGAACTATGGAGGGGATAACGGTTGTGCTTGTTTGATAATCTAGGATCTAAGGCTTTAATCAGCAATGATGCCAGTTTCAGGACCCAAACAGCACAGCTACAGTGTGTCCAGCGGCGCGCGCACAAGCAAACTACCGTGTACGTGCGCCTGCCCGTCACGAATTATAGCACTCGGCGCTTCGGCTAAGATCGAGCGATGGAAGAGTACAGACGACGCTGCTTTCTTTCTCTCACGATCTATTAGCTATAGCTAACGTGCCAGCCGTGAAAATGATGTCTAGGCGTCTTTAATGTATTTCGCCGGTCGCGTGTCTTTTCTCGCGCGTGTGTTCTCTTCCTACACAATTAATTGTCCTAATTAATTGTCGCATTAAATAGAAAGTCTTTTTTAATAGAAATCTTTTTATAATAATAGTCGTTTTTAAATAGAAAGTCTTTTATATATAAAAAATATAAAAAATGAAGAAATGAAAAACAGAAAGAATGTAAAAAATAAAGAACAGAAATCCACTCTTCGCCAATATGTACGCATTTTCCTGAAAAAAGCATAGTTATTAATTTGTAAAAATTATTTAATATGCAAAAAAATAGATTGCCAAATTAAATAATATATTTTCTATCTCGTAAAATTCCGTTAATATATTTTTTATTTTATTGATGGCAAAATCATTATAATAAGCAACAGAAAAAGATGTTTTTGCAGTAATAGTTTTCTGCTGTTTCAATTTTATAAATGGACTAAGTTAATTTTACTTGGGACATCTCAAGTTGAAACTTTTGATTCTACATGAAGCCTGTATATTGCAGAATTGTATTTCTTTAATGTATGGCACGCCGTTTTACTTTTTAATGGCATAAAAGATATTCAGCATAATATAAAAGTTCCAACTAAAAATGGCTACATAAAAATTATGTTTCAGTCTTTTGAAATGTTATTATGTCACGATATAATAATAATTCAGCAAATTATAATTATGTGTCCACATAAGAAAAATACCGTATTTCTATTATGTCCCGACATAATTATAATTCATCGAATTACTATTATGCGAAGGCATAAATGTAATACTGAATTATTATTATGTCCCGACATAATAAGAATACCCGATTTAATATTATGTCACGACATAATAATAATTCCGAATTTCTGTAGTCCCGCGACATCTTTCGTCATCTATAGAATATCTGACAATTACCATATCAATGTTCGTGTGCAATTAGATGTATTAAACTGAATAAGAATGTTTCCTATTGTATTGCAATTTTCACAATAAATATTAAAGAATTAAAAAATATGAACAAATAAATACATAAGAAGTAATAAAACAAATTCTATAAATATAATTTCAAATCTGCTGACAATCTCTTGGCATTGACAGAACTGTAGTTCCTGACTTAAACCGTAGACTCAAGTCGAAGACTTGTAGTCCAATATCATGTACCGCCCGTCATTATCAGGAGATTATTAACAAATTTAAGGCATTTTCCTTGAGACGATACTTATGTAGCTCGTCTTATCATTTCCTGCACATTTATTCAATGATATTTAATTCCTTAACAACTATAGTAAAATTTAGGAAATAGCAAAGGACTTTCCTATTCAGTTTGATTTATTTACATACGATTATTTACATACGATCGTTATTGCGGTAATTTTCAGATACTTTATATTCTGATGTCATTGAACATAGCAAAATAAATACTATTTTGATGTTGTCATGGAAATAACAGTTTATTAACCGCACTTAGTAACAGCAATAGAAACCTCAATAGTAGGTAACATTATTACATAACGTTCATATAAAGTGTGAATTTTATAAAGTTCGTCAATATATTGACGAAACGTAATATGTGGTGGGGATATAGTGAGTCGTTAGATTTACAAAATGAAATAACTGAAGGAGATGATCAATTTTCAAGCAGTCTTGAAGTATTCATTGTAGGTGCTGGTGATGCACGGCATATTATTAAAACGTTAGCATCGTCTTATAAACATCCTGATCGAATTATTACATATCACGTTATTGAACCAACCTTGGAACAAGTTGCTAGATCGATACTCTTATTGAATGTTTGTTTACAAAAAGACTTGGGTATGTATTTATAAACAGATAGCAAGTTATTTTATAGCTCTGATAGAAAAAAATTGATATTACATAATAAATATACAACAAGGACTGCAAGAAGCAACACGATATTACTTGGAGATTTTAGGCAATACTCTCCTTAGACCAGCCACAGCAAAATATTTAGCCAAATGTACTAAACAGTTAATAAATATTTCAACTTGCACTATTGATTGTCCATGGTTATCATTAGAAAACTTCAAATACAAGGATAGAGATAATTTGGAGTGTATTTTTAAGTAAGTTAATATAACAGAATAAGTGACAAAAAAGTGATTTTAAATACACGTATAAGTTATACACATATATAAAAAAATATAAATTATGAAGACTTAAATATATACCAACCAATAACCAATTGAAGACTGAAAAAGCTAATAACAGTTTCACTATTCTATATAGATAGTGATTTCAGAGTTAAATAAATTTTTGAAAATCGAAATGACAACTAAAATATTGGAATACTTTTTAGAGAAATCTGTTTAATAATCCCATCTTATGTCAGCTTTAATTGGTTTTTTTATTTCCAGTTAATTGTATATATGCACATAAGTTTAATTTTAAGAGACAAAAATATTTGATATTTCAACAAGACATATTTCTGTAACATATTTCTTAAGGTTTTGGATACGTGCAACGTGTGAAGGAATTCCCATTATAAACTACTGGGATCATAGAATTAGAGAATTGTTAAAAGCAAGATATGACTACAGAGAAGGTGTTTTTGACTGGGATTACTACATGATTTTAAAGCCTAGAGGCATCTTTAATCTGACTGTACAAGAATATAAGTAAGTATATAGTAAACGTGATAAAAGTTGAATGCAAATATCTTATCAAAATAATGTTGAATCATGTTACTTCTAATAAAATTCAAATCTCATTAATATTGAGATTAAATATTAATCAATTAAATATTATAAATATTTATATTTATGTATATATATTGAACAATTATTGTGAATAGATTTTGGAGAAATAATGGAGTTGCCTTCACATGGCTCGAAGGTGAACCAGTCCGAAGCAATCCGACTCTATTAAATAATATAATACAATATGGGCCTGGATTTGTACACCATGCATACTTAGGGGACATTGTAAATGGTCCCTTTTTTACTTGGACAACAAGTGAAAGAAAAGATAAAAAGTAAGTAAAAAAAGATAAAAAGTAATATTTTAAATTATAAAATAAATTTACATATTTTTAATACTTAAAATATATTTATATCTTAAAGATTTAGAGCAACTGATATAGCTGAAGGAGAATTAATGCGAACTATTTACGAGATAAAAATGAAGAAACCACTATGTGAAAATTATATTGGTGCTCATAGAGATCCTTCCATTTTAAATGGCACTATAGTCACTGAGGTACCAAACATTGAAGTGGAATTTGAATCATGGACAAGTGTCAATAATAAAACAAATAAAGAAAATATTTCTTGGGTTGAAATACCAAATCACAAGGTATTTTATATTCTGCAATAAGAAAATAAGAGTATTTTACATGTATATATAATCTCACTTTTAGGTAATTTTTCACCCTGTATCTTCATTGGAGTTACTCAAATCTAAGTGTGAATATATAAATAGATTTCACCTGATTTGGATAGCACACAATATGACAAAGCAGTTAGCAAATCTGATACCACTGGCTTTGACAGGTGCATCAGTCATTGTGGAATTACCTAAATATATAGCAGATTTACATGAAGATTTGCAAAACTTTAATAAAAAATTAAATGAAATTATACAAAAAAATGGACTCTGTCCAATTTACAATTTTGATTCAAATCAACATACACTTGCCCGTTTTTATAAAAACTAAATTTTTTTATTTAGAGAATATCTACCATTATAGAAATTATATAATGATTATAAAGAAACATTTAGAGAAAGAAACATAAAGAAAAATAAACAATAAATATATGTAAAAAAGATAAATTTTAATATAATTATATATTTATATTTATAATTAATATAATTAATCATATATTATAATTAAATTATAATTCATATTATAATTCCATATAATAAATAAACAAATTTTAACAGCCGCCAAAGTTGAACATAGACTTTGTACGTGAGAATGTGAATTGAGGTCCTTACACAATGCCAGGCAGTGATGTGTATTACCAGAGAAAAGCCTGAGAGCGGGCATGGTTGCATTTACAGCGTTATCGAAAAGTTGGCTGATTCGAAGCGCCAACTGGGTCCATTTTTCATGAACATGAACTACTAAGCCAATGTCCACGATTTGTTGGTACTATTCCGTGCTATGTCCATAATTATTTGGTTCTGTTCTGTGCTATGTTCACGAGCGAGCTAAATTAGTTAGATAAAAACGGAGAATCGGTCTTTGTCTCACCACCACTGAATAGACAATCGCGACGAAGCGAGCCAGCAGCGATGTTATCGTAAGGCAGACGTCGGCGTCTCCCCTTTCACCCCCTTGTTTTCCTTTCCACATTGTTTTATATTCATAATTCGAGAAGAAAATAATTTCGAGAGTTCGGACGATTTCTAGCAATGACGCGACAGAGATAACGCGCGGCCATATTAATTTGTCATGATTTGTATATTACTTATAATTACATAAACGCCCATATATGTAAATTATAGATAATTATTGCGCGCATGTTTTAATATTGTACAATGGTATATAATAACAACTTCATTTTTTGCAGTAATATTTTTAAGATCTTCGTTGAGGTCGTGAATTTATTTTTTTCTTCATCAATCAGTTTTTTGCAAAAAGTAAGATTTTTAAAATAAAATATAAAATGTTTCTCTTTTCTTCTCTCCGAAGAGTTAATTAAAAATGTATACTTCACAGAGTCAACTAAAAAATGTGTACTCAGGAGAGTCAATGCACTCCGTGAAAGTGTACTCCGAAAAGTAAATTTAATAGCGTATTCCGAAGAGTCAATTTGAAAGCGTACTCTGAAAAATCAAATTGATATTGCAATCCGAAAAGTCAGTTTATAACAGAATATTTATTTCGATGATTCAACTAAAGAAAAAATATTTATTATTATATCGAAAGAATAATATTTAATTTATTATTTATACTTATCTTACGCTTACCTTCTTTGAATAAAAAATTTAATTTGTTGACTGATTCAGATTCAGGTTTGTTAAAATATCTCTTATGCGCAACTTTTGAACAGGTAGGTAGATAGTAAAATAATTTTCTTTCTTTACGAATTTTATAAACTTTTCACAAACGTAAAAATTGAAAGATTCTCAGAGAACAAATAACTTTTCTTGAACATTTAAACCAAAGGAAAATCTTTTCCCATTAATAAAGAATGAATAATTAATATCTCACACAAGAGGAATCTTCATCCTTGAAATCACCGCGCGATTTTGCTTTTAGAAAAGTATAATATTGATGTAATAGTAACAAATGCTATCCAAAAACGGTGCAAATCTTTAACGTTTTTGAGAAATGCAGTTTGAAGTTTAGTCTTTTCGGTTAATATCGTTATAGCAGAAGAATTACCAATTTGCTTCAGTAGCGCAGTGGATCAGGCTTTGTAATATAAACGTAGAGGTTGTTCAAGTGTGTTATTTTTACTATCACAAGGAGAACTATGTAGAATGTATAATAATACGCAGACAAATTCTTTACATAATCATACTTATTTCTTTTAGCATGAATAAAAATGATCAATGCTAACATGATAAGTGTATATCGCAATTGTACGTGTACGTGTACACATACACACACACACACATACACACGTATACCAATGATGTCAAAACCGAACAATTCGTGAAAATTTTTTATTGATCGCAATTGTACGCAAAGACGAAAGAGAAGTACACAGGTCTCCACGAATATCTCGTCATATTAATTGTCTATGAGCTGATAAACAGTTGATCTCCGGTATTTACAAGTTACGCTTGTCCGCAGCTTGTTCGGTTTTGACATCATTGGTATCAGTGATGCGAATTTGATGACAGGCTTGCACGAGATTCCCCCCCCATGCACGCACACAGCCAGCTCGGTCTATCCGTGTGGACCACGCGATCGGCAATCGTCGACGCGCCGAGCGAGCGAGCGAGCGAGAGAGAGAGAGAGAGAGAGAGAGAGAGAGAGAGAGAATATCATTCCCTCCTTGTCGCTCTCGTTCTCGCTCAGCGAGCGAGCCTAATTCTTTCTTGCCCATAATCTGAATCGCGGGCGCGACTGTCTCTCTCTCCTTTCCTCTCTATGACAATACTGAATGTTTTGTCTACTCGGCGCACCGAAATTATTATAAATAATATTTTATTATTAATAATATTATTATCTGTAATATATATTATTTGTAATATTATTATTTGTAATTTTATTTGTAATTGTATAATAATGTTACAAATAATACAAATTTTTACAAATTTTATTTGTAAAAATTTATATCATTTGTAATATTATTTGTAATAGTATTGATAATATTCGGCGCCAAGAAAATGAAATATATTTTATTAATTATTTTGCGGAGTCGGGCAGGTTCACAGGTTTGATTATTGAATTGTTTAATAATATTTTAAGAATAATTTTAAGTTATACAAGGATGTAGTATGAAATATAAAAGAATATTGTAACAGAATCAAGAAATATGAAACGAAACCTCTTTGCTTTTATTACAATATCCTGTAAGTTAATAAATATTTTTCACACATAGTATTATTATATTTTTATTGAGTAGTGCACTGAACAACTATGACATTGTTCTGAGAGCTTTCTCATTTAGAGCGACGAAACAAATATATTTTATGAATTATTTTTCGCGCAGATAGAAAATTCAGGGATGTAATTGTTTTTGGAGATTATTTAATACTGTGTGAAAAATATTTATTAACTTACAGGATATTGTAATAAAAGCAAAGAGGTTTCGTTTCATATTTCTTGATTCTGTTACAATATTCTTTTATATTTCATACTACATCCTTGTATAACTTAAAATTATTCTTAAAATATTATTAAACAATTCAATAATCAAACCTGTGAACCTGCCCGACTCCGCAAAATAATTAATAAAATATATTTCATTTTCTTGGCGCCGAATATTATCAATACTATTACAAATAATATTACAAATGATATAAATTTTTACAAATAAAATTTGTAAAAATTTGTATTATTTGTAACATTATTATACAATTACAAATAAAATTACAAATAATAATATTACAAATAATATATATTACAGATAATAATATTATTAATAATAAAATATTATTTATAATAATTTCGGTGCGCCGAGTAGACAAAACATTCAGTATTGTCATAGAGAGGAAAGGAGAGAGAGACAGTCGCGCCCGCGATTCAGATTATGGGCAAGAAAGAATTAGGCTCGCTCGCTGAGCGAGAACGAGAGCGACAAGGAGGGAATGATATTCTCTCTCTCTCTCTCTCTCTCTCTCTCTCTCTCTCTCGCTCGCTCGCTCGCTCGGCGCGTCGACGATTGCCGATCGCGTGGTCCACACGGATAGACCGAGCTGGCTGTGTGCGTGCATGGGGGGGAATCTCGTGCAAGCCTGTCATCAAATTCGCATCACTGATACCAATGATGTCAAAACCGAACAAGCTGCGGACAAGCGTAACTTGTAAATACCGGAGATCAACTGTTTATCAGCTCATAGACAATTAATATGACGAGATATTCGTGGAGACCTGTGTACTTCTCTTTCGTCTTTGCGTACAATTGCGATCAATAAAAAATTTTCACGAATTGTTCGGTTTTGACATCATTGGTATACGTGTGTATGTGTGTGTGTGTGTATGTGTACACGTACACGTACAATTGCGATATACACTTATCATGTTAGCATTGATCATTTTTATTCATGCTAAAAGAAATAAGTATGATTATGTAAAGAATTTGTCTGCGTATTATTATACATTCTACATAGTTCTCCTTGTGATAGTAAAAATAACACACTTGAACAACCTCTACGTTTATATTACAAAGCCTGATCCACTGCGCTACTGAAGCAAATTGGTAATTCTTCTGCTATAACGATATTAACCGAAAAGACTAAACTTCAAACTGCATTTCTCAAAAACGTTAAAGATTTGCACCGTTTTTGGATAGCATTTGTTACTATTACATCAATATTATACTTTTCTAAAAGCAAAATCGCGCGGTGATTTCAAGGATGAAGATTCCTCTTGTGTGAGATATTAATTATTCATTCTTTATTAATGGGAAAAGATTTTCCTTTGGTTTAAATGTTCAAGAAAAGTTATTTGTTCTCTGAGAATCTTTCAATTTTTACGTTTGTGAAAAGTTTATAAAATTCGTAAAGAAAGAAAATTATTTTACTATCTACCTACCTGTTCAAAAGTTGCGCATAAGAGATATTTTAACAAACCTGAATCTGAATCAGTCAACAAATTAAATTTTTTATTCAAAGAAGGTAAGCGTAAGATAAGTATAAATAATAAATTAAATATTATTCTTTCGATATAATAATAAATATTTTTTCTTTAGTTGAATCATCGAAATAAATATTCTGTTATAAACTGACTTTTCGGATTGCAATATCAATTTGATTTTTCAGAGTACGCTTTCAAATTGACTCTTCGGAATACGCTATTAAATTTACTTTTCGGAGTACACTTTCACGGAGTGCATTGACTCTCCTGAGTACACATTTTTTAGTTGACTCTGTGAAGTATACATTTTTAATTAACTCTTCGGAGAGAAGAAAAGAGAAACATTTTATATTTTATTTTAAAAATCTTACTTTTTGCAAAAAACTGATTGATGAAGAAAAAAATAAATTCACGACCTCAACGAAGATCTTAAAAATATTACTGCAAAAAATGAAGTTGTTATTATATACCATTGTACAATATTAAAACATGCGCGCAATAATTATCTATAATTTACATATATGGGCGTTTATGTAATTATAAGTAATATACAAATCATGACAAATTAATATGGCCGCGCGTTATCTCTGTCGCGTCATTGCTAGAAATCGTCCGAACTCTCGAAATTATTTTCTTCTCGAATTATGAATATAAAACAATGTGGAAAGGAAAACAAGGGGGTGAAAGGGGAGACGCCGACGTCTGCCTTACGATAACATCGCTGCTGGCTCGCTTCGTCGCGATTGTCTATTCAGTGGTGGTGAGACAAAGACCGATTCTCCGTTTTTATCTAACTAATTTAGCTCGCTCGTGAACATAGCACAGAACAGAACCAAATAATTATGGACATAGCACGGAATAGTACCAACAAATCGTGGACATTGGCTTAGTAGTTCATGTTCATGAAAAATGGACCCAGTTGGCGCTTCGAATCAGCCAACTTTTCGATAACGCTGTAAATGCAACCATGCCCGCTCTCAGGCTTTTCTCTGGTAATACACATCACTGCCTGGCATTGTGTAAGGACCTCAATTCACATTCTCACGTACAAAGTCTATGTTCAACTTTGGCGGCTGTTAAAATTTGTTTATTTATTATATGGAATTATAATATGAATTATAATTTAATTATAATATATGATTAATTATATTAATTATAAATATAAATATATAATTATATTAAAATTTATCTTTTTTACATATATTTATTGTTTATTTTTCTTTATGTTTCTTTCTCTAAATGTTTCTTTATAATCATTATATAATTTCTATAATGGTAGATATTCTCTAAATAAAAAAATTTAGTTTTTATAAAAACGGGCAAGTGTATGTTGATTTGAATCAAAATTGTAAATTGGACAGAGTCCATTTTTTTGTATAATTTCATTTAATTTTTTATTAAAGTTTTGCAAATCTTCATGTAAATCTGCTATATATTTAGGTAATTCCACAATGACTGATGCACCTGTCAAAGCCAGTGGTATCAGATTTGCTAACTGCTTTGTCATATTGTGTGCTATCCAAATCAGGTGAAATCTATTTATATATTCACACTTAGATTTGAGTAACTCCAATGAAGATACAGGGTGAAAAATTACCTAAAAGTGAGATTATATATACATGTAAAATACTCTTATTTTCTTATTGCAGAATATAAAATACCTTGTGATTTGGTATTTCAACCCAAGAAATATTTTCTTTATTTGTTTTATTATTGACACTTGTCCATGATTCAAATTCCACTTCAATGTTTGGTACCTCAGTGACTATAGTGCCATTTAAAATGGAAGGATCTCTATGAGCACCAATATAATTTTCACATAGTGGTTTCTTCATTTTTATCTCGTAAATAGTTCGCATTAATTCTCCTTCAGCTATATCAGTTGCTCTAAATCTTTAAGATATAAATATATTTTAAGTATTAAAAATATGTAAATTTATTTTATAATTTAAAATATTACTTTTTATCTTTTTTTACTTACTTTTTATCTTTTCTTTCACTTGTTGTCCAAGTAAAAAAGGGACCATTTACAATGTCCCCTAAGTATGCATGGTGTACAAATCCAGGCCCATATTGTATTATATTATTTAATAGAGTCGGATTGCTTCGGACTGGTTCACCTTCGAGCCATGTGAAGGCAACTCCATTATTTCTCCAAAATCTATTCACAATAATTGTTCAATATATATACATAAATATAAATATTTATAATATTTAATTGATTAATATTTAATCTCAATATTAATGAGATTTGAATTTTATTAGAAGTAACATGATTCAACATTATTTTGATAAGATATTTGCATTCAACTTTTATCACGTTTACTATATACTTACTTATATTCTTGTACAGTCAGATTAAAGATGCCTCTAGGCTTTAAAATCATGTAGTAATCCCAGTCAAAAACACCTTCTCTGTAGTCATATCTTGCTTTTAACAATTCTCTAATTCTATGATCCCAGTAGTTTATAATGGGAATTCCTTCACACGTTGCACGTATCCAAAACCTTAAGAAATATGTTACAGAAATATGTCTTGTTGAAATATCAAATATTTTTGTCTCTTAAAATTAAACTTATGTGCATATATACAATTAACTGGAAATAAAAAAACCAATTAAAGCTGACATAAGATGGGATTATTAAACAGATTTCTCTAAAAAGTATTCCAATATTTTAGTTGTCATTTCGATTTTCAAAAATTTATTTAACTCTGAAATCACTATCTATATAGAATAGTGAAACTGTTATTAGCTTTTTCAGTCTTCAATTGGTTATTGGTTGGTATATATTTAAGTCTTCATAATTTATATTTTTTTATATATGTGTATAACTTATACGTGTATTTAAAATCACTTTTTTGTCACTTATTCTGTTATATTAACTTACTTAAAAATACACTCCAAATTATCTCTATCCTTGTATTTGAAGTTTTCTAATGATAACCATGGACAATCAATAGTGCAAGTTGAAATATTTATTAACTGTTTAGTACATTTGGCTAAATATTTTGCTGTGGCTGGTCTAAGGAGAGTATTGCCTAAAATCTCCAAGTAATATCGTGTTGCTTCTTGCAGTCCTTGTTGTATATTTATTATGTAATATCAATTTTTTTCTATCAGAGCTATAAAATAACTTGCTATCTGTTTATAAATACATACCCAAGTCTTTTTGTAAACAAACATTCAATAAGAGTATCGATCTAGCAACTTGTTCCAAGGTTGGTTCAATAACGTGATATGTAATAATTCGATCAGGATGTTTATAAGACGATGCTAACGTTTTAATAATATGCCGTGCATCACCAGCACCTACAATGAATACTTCAAGACTGCTTGAAAATTGATCATCTCCTTCAGTTATTTCATTTTGTAAATCTAACGACTCACTATATCCCCACCACATATTACGTTTCGTCAATATATTGACGAACTTTATAAAATTCACACTTTATATGAACGTTATGTAATAATGTTACCTACTATTGAGGTTTCTATTGCTGTTACTAAGTGCGGTTAATAAACTGTTATTTCCATGACAACATCAAAATAGTATTTATTTTGCTATGTTCAATGACATCAGAATATAAAGTATCTGAAAATTACCGCAATAACGATCGTATGTAAATAATCGTATGTAAATAAATCAAACTGAATAGGAAAGTCCTTTGCTATTTCCTAAATTTTACTATAGTTGTTAAGGAATTAAATATCATTGAATAAATGTGCAGGAAATGATAAGACGAGCTACATAAGTATCGTCTCAAGGAAAATGCCTTAAATTTGTTAATAATCTCCTGATAATGACGGGCGGTACATGATATTGGACTACAAGTCTTCGACTTGAGTCTACGGCTTAAGTCAGGAACTACAGTTCTGTCAATGCCAAGAGATTGTCAGCAGATTTGAAATTATATTTATAGAATTTATTTTATTACTTCTTATGTATTTATTTGTTCATATTTTTTAATTCTTTAATATTTATTGTGAAAATTGCAATACAATAGGAAACATTCTTATTCAGTTTAATACATCTAATTGCACACGAACATTGATATGGTAATTGTCAGATATTCTATAGATGACGAAAGATGTCGCGGGACTACAGAAATTCTGATATATTTTGCCCTTACCTCTAATTTCAATATTCCTTCGTAAATAAAGTTTTGTCCGTATATTTTTATATTGATAGCTACATTGGATTTTTATTTTTCTAAGAAGTCATATATGCTCATTTGCAAAACAGTTTAAATATTCAGTCTTCGACGCATTTCGAAATGCAGATGACCTTCAATAGAAAAATTGGTTTTAAGTGATTCTCATAAAACAGGTTCTTTTATTGAATGTCAGATACATTTTGAAACGTGTCAAAAAATATATTTAAACTATTCTGTAAACAGGTATACATTAATATGAAATATTTAAAGATAATAATTAAATTAATCAAATTAATATAAGACAGTTACATAAAGAAAATTACATAGAGAAGGAATAAGGAGTATTATATCAAAACAAAAATTTTAGATTTCTGTAATAAAATTGTAAATATATCAGTAATAGTCGGATTTTGAGACTTATAAAACCATTTATTTTTTCTTATATAGATTCTGTAACACAGATAAAAATAGTCTTCCTTGTTAAATTTCTTTAACACGTTCCGTACTGCGTTAATTTTACATAAATTTCCACGCGTATTATTTAAATTGTTAAAATAAAAATATTTATTTCGTTTTATAATACATTTTGTACCTTTCTTTCTTAATAATCAAGGTTGTATAATATTCCTTAAGTATTATAAGATGTATCTTATAAACATATACAATAATCTTATAAACACATGTATAACTTTGACACATGGATCATCGGTCACCTATGCAACATGGAACGTGTTAATAAATGTTATTTGTAAACATTCTACATATTTGTTTTGCCCAATAGCTCACTTATCTCTTTTTTTCTGGGCCCGTTTGTTACCACAACGTTGTAAAATTTCAGTAATAGGTTGTTTATGTTGAAATATAGTGCCAAGCTGTGAACGTGCTTCATTCATGCCTTCGCTGATTAAAGTACTGCGTTGTAAGTTTCCTTTAATTAAGTCATTCACACGCTCAAGTCCATCAATATGTCTATTTTTAGAAGTTTGCTGCGATTCGAGCAGCATTAGCGTCATTTTTAATTTTTCATGTGCCTAAATAAACAAAATAATTATAGAACGAATTATACAAATGAAGTTAGTTATTGTTTCTATTTTGTTGAAAATAGAAGAAAATTAAAAAAGTTAAAGATTATTTTTTTTCGTAAGAGATACCAAGTTAAACAACATTTATTCAAACAAGTATTCACTTCTTGATAGTTTTATCTTATCAATATTTTTATGCAATACATAGGATGTAAATGAATACCTATTACAAACTTTCAGAAGAAACTTTAAAAAGATTATAGATGATATGGTAGGTATATAGGTGATCAATTTTACATTAGAAACCTATGTTCAGAAACGTCGCGTTTTTTGTGCTATATTGTGGAACAAAGTCTGACTACGCACCTATTGACTTTTTCTTTCAAAAATATATTAGATTATTCAGAAAGTTCGTTTCAAATTTTAAGCGCTCCGCATTTCTATGCAATTAGTAAGAGTGAGGGCGCTCCAGACGATTTATACTTGTCAACAAATTTTCCCGGACCTATGAGCTCGCCAAAAAAACTTCGTAGACCTTCCAATCAATCCATTCCAATGCAATCATTTCATCAAAATTCAGTTTGAAAAATGGAAAATCAGAAAGTCCATTTTCGCCATGTGATGTATTGCTTCAAACTTCACGAATATAGCTTCACGGCTTCGCAGAAACTGAATAAGATGTTCTCTGTGTATGGAGATGTTTGCGTCATCAGACAGTTCGGAAGTAGTATTGAAGATTTAAAGCTGGCGATTTCAACGTGGAAAATCAAGTTCATTTTGACCGGCTTGAGGTTGATGAAACACTTTTTGAGGACTTGATACGCGAAAATCCGCAAATGACTGTTAGAACATTCATCAATACTCTGCCCAAGTTCATCTTTACTGTACCTGACTACCTGAAGAAGTTGAGGTTCTTAACTCGACTGGATATCTGGATGCTAACGAAATGAGTGAACGGCAGCTGATACGTATACGAACATATGTGATATACTGCTTCAACGGCACTAAAAGGAACTGTTTTTGAAGATTACAATAGGCAATGAAAGTTGGGTCTTATACAATAATGTTAGCCGCAAGAGACCTTGTGGAACTAGCGGCGTGTCTACGCAAACAGTGGCCAAACCGAGACTTCACCCGAAAAAGGTTCTTCTCAGCATTTGGTGGGATTTTAAATATTATGAGCTTCTTCAGTCGAACGAAACCATCATCGTGGCAAAGTAAAGTTCAGTTGGACGAACTGAAGGCTGCTATCGTACGGAAGTGCCCTGAAGTCCAACAGGCATGGAGTTGTTTTCCACTATGATAATGCTAGATCTCACGTTACAATGTCTATCCGTAGGAAGCTGTCAGATTTTGAATGGGGCGTTTTTCTTCATTCTCTGTATTCTCCCAATTTTGCCCCATCTGGCAACTACCTGGCTATTTTTTTTTTTTTAAACATTTTGTTCGGGATAAGAAATTCGAGTTTTTGGAAGTCCTCAAAAATTACCTCGATCAATTCTTCGCTAGTAAGAAATCTTCATTTTGGAGCAAATGCCTCATGCAGCTTTCTGGCCAAGATCGTTGAACAAAACGGTACGTATTTGCTTCAATAAAGTTCTTTTGGTGTAAAAATATTGTGCTCTGAATTTATATAGAAAATTTGAAACGAACTTTTCGAATAATCTAATATGACGAGTTTAGTGTATAAGATTTTTATCGAGATTGAAGAGTTAGTAGCAAGGATTGTGACAGCAACGCAAAATATTCAACATAATTCAGGCATTTTTGAGAGGATGTACAGGAACATAATTCGCAGATGCAATGTTTGTAACAACGTTGATAATCGACACTTTGGCTGCTTTTTTAATTCAGAAACTTAAATATCAAAATAATATCCTAGTATACGGTACGGCTATCTCTGCAAGCAGATAACCCAGTGGGATTAAAAATATGTAAAGGATTATTCACTGTATAGTATGCGATCGGGATTTTCTTTTGCTTGTAGGATAGAAACACATTTCCCGACAGTACTTTCTAACAAAAACTTAATTAATTATAACCTCCTTACATGTCCTGAAAGTTTGTAATGGATATTTATTTGTATCTTGTATAATAAAGAGAATAGATTTATATAAAAAAAAATTTGTAATATTCATTTATATCCTATATAACAAAGAGAAACATAGATCTTGTAGCTTAGACACTAAACTAATTTATAATAAATAAATATAATAAATAAATATAATAGATAAATAAATAATAAAAAACAAATAATAAATAAAACAAATAATAAAAAAATAGGAAAAGGACTAAAAACTAAATAGTTAGATACTATTTAGTTTTTAGTCCTTTTCCTATTTTAATTCTTCTGTTTTCAATAAAATATATGCTATAAATTGTATAAGTTATACAGGATGCTAAATTTCAAACGTAACAGGTAAAAAATCTCGAAAACTAAATGATATTGAAGTTCGCCTTTTTTTTTGTATTGTATTGTTTCGAAGGGGACAGATTTTGATTAAAATAAAATTTAATTTTGGGTGGAGGTAAAAAGGTCAAACTTTTTTTTAAATGGAATTCTAATTTTTTGAACATCTACATTTGTAGCCCTTATCATGACGAATTCAACAACCACATACTCAAGGTGATTAGAAGTCAAATAATGGAAAAAGACTCAAGAAAAAAAATAATGCTTGAATAAAGCAAAGAAAAAATAAACTTTATTGATAAATTTTCAATAACAAAATATCTTAGAAAAAAGAAGCGTTTTTCTCTTCGAAATGGAGAATTTTATTAATTTAAGTGTTCGAAATGTTGTCCCCTTGCATTTATGCAAGCCTGCAATCTTCGTTGAAAATCATTAAGCACTCTTTGTAATTCGCTCGTCGAAATTATTTGACTCGCTTCGCATATTCGTTGCATCATATTTTCTCTTGTAGTTAGGGGATTAACATAAATAATTTCCCAGATTCTATCAAAAATAATAATCTGGGCAGATCAAATTAGGTGATCTGGGTGGCTAAGATACTGGACCTTCTCGACTTGTCCATCGATTAGGAAAAATAACATTTATGTGTTGTCTGACAGTCAAACTAAAGTGAGGAGGTGTTCCGTCAAGTTGCATTCACATGTTTTGCCGAAGGTTTAGAGGTAAATCTTCCAGAAGAATCTAATTTTTTAACTAAGAAATTCAAAAAAACTCGTCCACTTACGATACCATCGAAGAAAAATGGACCAATAATTGTGACACCAATAATGGCACACCACATATTCAACGACCATACATGTTGATTATCAATTTGTCTTAACCATCTAGGATTTTGGTCGCTCCAATAATGAAAATTATAACAATTTACATGTCCATTGCTACGAAACGTAGCTTCATCGCTCCAGAATACTCTAGAAAAGAACGTTTCATCCTCTTCGTAGCGTTGTAAAGCCCATCGACAAAATTCCATTCTCCTACCATGATCCTCCTGCGTTAAGGCTTAGTGTAAGTTGATATGGAACGGATGTTGGCGCTCACGATGTAAGATATTCCAAATATTTACGTGGGATATTCCAAGTTCCTGTGACAATTATCGTGTACTGTAATGAGGATTTACAATAATTGCTGCTAAAACATTTATTGTTGTGTCCTGATTACAAACTGGACGAGACCCATTCATATTGCGATGAACTGCAAAAGTTCCATGTTCTCTTAAACGATGATATAAATGAATGAAGACCATAGGAGATGGATAATGGAGTTTATTAAGATATTTTTGATGGTAAATTCTAGCAGCTTCTCTAGCATTTTGTTGACATTCACTATAAATTAAGACCATGTCACGATATTCCTCATTAATATAACGCACCATAACGCAAATGACGAAATAAAAGTGAAAACACAACTTATTCTAATGATTACACTAGTCACACTCGTGTTCAATATCAATAACTGATTTGGTTGAAATAGAACCCATCCGCACACATACGTATGCCTAGTCTATCTGTTATGTGTTTATTTTCTGAAGAATGTTTACAGTTTTTGCATCGTCAACGCCAACATCCATTCCATATCCACTTCTACTAAGCTTTAACGCAGGAATATCATGATAGAATTTTGCCAATATAAATAAGATAAACTTTGATTTTATTAAGATGTATTAATAAAGTTAATGAGTCTTTTTTCCATTATTTGACCTCTAATCACCTTGAGTATGTGGTTGTTGAATTCGTCATGACAAAGGCTACAAACGTAAATGTTCAAAAAATTAGAATTCCATTTAAGAAAAAGTTTGACCTTTTTACTTTGGCGTTTCCACCCAAAATTAAATTTTGTTTTAATCAAAATGTGTCCTCTTCGAAACAATACAATATGAAAAAAAGGCGGATCTTAATATCATTTAGTTTTCGAGATTTTTTACCTGTTACGTTTGGAATTTAGCACCCTGTATATAATTCAATCTATATATTATTTGTTGTTTATTGAACTATTAAGATAGACAATTTTCTCTTACTTGTTTTTCAAGCTCCGCAAACTCTTCCATTTGTGCAGAGAGATGATAAACTTTCCATCCATTAAGTTTTTGTAATACATGTTTCTGTTGTGCCAATTCAGCTACTGTAGGTCTTCTCTCTTCACGTGGTCGAACGTCACTAGGTCTTCTGTAATGATGTAGCCTACTATCTCCCCATTTATTTTTCCAAGAGCCTGGAAAATAAGCAATGCCTAATAAAAGTATGAAATATCCACGTGTACACATAAAATGAAACTTAATGCAAAATTTATACATACCCCCTAACAAACTTGGCATAGGTCGTAACCGTATTGTAACTTCTGCTTGCTGAGTAGGCGATTTAATATCCCTATGTATATTAGAAGCATGTCTCTTGTCAGGTGATTTTTCTTTTAATTCTTCTTTCATTTCCTTCTTTGTTTTATCCTCTGTGACAAATTCCATTACTACTTCTGTGCATCTAGGTTCGGTTAATTCTACACCTGTAAGTTGTTGTTTACGAGGTTTCTTTCTCGGTGACATTTCTCCAGTGGGATTAATGGTAATCCTAGATTGTTCTGGTTCTTCGTCAAGACCTGGTGAAGAGGTCGCAGATACAGTAGTCGATCCTGAACTTGGACAACCACCACCATCATGATCTCCTCTTGGTGAACACGGTGGACTGGAAGTCAATCTATTTGATGGTAATGACGCTAGTAGGGGAACTAAATTTTTAGCTGCACCTGATATAATTAAAAAAAATATCATATTTACATCATCATATGTAATATAAAATTTATAATATAAAATTAATGTGTAATGTAATACAAAATTTATAATAAATATATAGTACCCTAGAGTTCATGCCTACGAAATATACCGTACTATTTTTTGTATCAAAAGAAACAACATTTCGTTGTAGCAAAATGACATCTTTGAACAATAGATTTTAGATAAAAGTAATTTAAAGTAAATGAATGAATGTTCTAAGTTATATTATGTGTGAACCAGAAATAGCACACGCTTCAAGTTACAATTACTGAAATTACGAATTATTTATATTAGAAATGTATAAGCGCTTTATGTTTCATAAAAAATTTTATTGTGTAGTTGTAAATATGTAAGCACACATAATGTCCGAGTATCACCATTATTTGAAACAAAACTCATAATATAGAAAAATAGTATAGAATAGTTAGTTTTACATCTTATCAATACATATTTTACTGATACTACTAAAATAAAAAAATTAATTAAGTTGAAAATAAAATAATTGAAATGAATGTATAACGCACACTAATTTTTTATGTAAGCTGTTTTGAATGTTTTACAATATTTAAAAAATGTTTAACTTTGAGGAAAGATGGTTAAATATTTTAATGTCAATGTACAAAATAAAGGTTTTGCATTTATATAAAAATATCTGCTTTGTGAATAAAGTTTTCTGGTATGTTGGATCATTCCTGTATGATGATTATTGTTTCTTCCAGCGTTTTTATTAAATTTTATTCAAATTTTTTTTTTCAGTTTTTACTAGATTTCCGTTAAACCAAAGTTTTTAAAATATTTTTATAGAAAAAAAGAAATTAATACATTTAATTCTGACAATTTACCAACTTGTATCTCCTAAAAATCTTAACAATCTTGCCGAGATGTAACAGAATCTCAGTTAATTCAAGAATCTGGAAATTTTATTAATGTTTCTTGTGTTGAAAACTTCTAGTATCTTACCGCGATATTCTTGCTTAATATCAAAAGCATGAAAATACACGTTTAAAATGATTGCAAAATATATTTAAATGGATGTATTTATAAAATGACATATGTAAATAACTTTTGAAGAATGCTTTGTAGAATTATAGATTTGTAGAATGCTTCGTAAGCTTTTGTTTTAGTCCAACAATCAATAAATAATCGTGAAATGAACGTGATAAAATAATATAGCTAAAAAGTAGTTTACCTGTATTATGTTAATTTTCTGGTTATTTATTGACTATTAGAGCAAGTTCCGGAATATTTGATAAATTTGCTTAATCAATTGCAATTACAAATGAATTTAATGAATATGTTTTTTTACTTAAACATACATAACATGTTTTGCAAAAATTCTCGGCATATATTGAGTTGTTAAAAAAATCATTGTTTTTTCCGGTGATTTTCAAGATTTTATTTTGTACAAAGAATGAACATTAATCAATGATATATTGCCCTTTTTGTTCGATGACCTACCATCTTTCGATAAGCTTCATGATCTGATTCTCAAAAAACTTCTTATCTGTATTAGCAAAGAACTGAACCAAGTGTCTTTCGATAGCGTCACTTGAAGCGAACGTTTTTCTACTCAAGGAGTTTTGCAAGAATCGAAACAAATCGTAGTTTGATGGTGTAAGGTCTGGCGAATACGGTGGATGAGGCAACACATCCCAACCAACAATTTTCCGCAAGCCATCAAACTTGTGGTCGAGCGGTGTTATGATGGAAGACCACTCCTTTGTGCTTTATCAATTCTGGTCACTTTTCTGCTGGTTTCGTTCAATTTATCGAGATGTTGACAGTCCGAATTGATCGTAACATTCCTTGGTAAGAGTTCGAAAAACACCACACCTTTCCAATCTCACCAGATTGAGAACACCTTTTTCTGGTGGATGTCTGCTTTTGATGTGCTTTAGGTCGACTCATCGCGCTTGCTCCGATCGCTTTCGCTTCACATCGTTGTAGACAATTCATCTTTTATCGCCAGTAAATATGCATTTCAGAAATGGGTTGGATTATTCATGTTTCAGAAGTTGATTACAGATGTCTATGTGTTCTATGAGGTGAACTTCTTTCACGTTGATCCGTTGATGCGGGATTCAACTATCGAACTTATTGACGTAATCAAGTCGTTTTAAATGAAGGTAAATGCGTCCAATTGATATTTTTAGTGCTCCAGCAAGGTTACGAATGGTAGAACGTTGATTAGCTTCAACTAATATCTTTATTTTATCATCATCAACCTTCGATGGCCGACCTGAACGAGGTGCATCTTTCACGCTGTAGTCACCAGAACGGAAATGAGCAACCAATATTGACACTGGCGTTCTTTTAGGGCTTCGTCACCATAAACTTTATGCAACTTTTCATAAGCCTGCACAGCATTTTTTCTTTTCCGAAGTAATAAAGTAAAATTTAGCGAAAAAAACTCGTGTTGGCTCTCCATTTCCAAAACGTTATAGAAGGAATAATTGTTTATCGATTCGAGCACTTTTTTTTTTTGATAGAAGCTATAAGTGTCAGCTGTCAAACGCGCATGGGCTCGAATTTACAGATGCGTTCAATATATTAAATATACAAAACTAAAACTGTCTATCTGAAATAAACGCAATGACTGTTTGAACAACCTAATATTTTGTCCCTGATGTTATTAATTAAAATGACTGTACTGAGGAGAAGAAGATATGAGATACAAGAGAAGAGATGAGATACAAGAACTTTAATATTATAAAATGATATTTTACTATATTATATCACAGACATACGATAAATTTTCTAATTATATTTGGCAAGATTTTGGTAAAAAATTGTTAACATTATTTTGACATGGATTCTTTTATTTTCTCCCCTGCTTATTCGGAAAAATACATAATTTAATAAATTGATCATTTATTATTTCTAGGTGTGTGTGTGTGTATGTATGTGTGTGTGTGTGTGTGTGTGAATGTGACTTTTATTGAATTTGAAATTTTTGTTTTTCAGATTTTATTAAAAATTTTTTCTTCTGATATTATTTACGCAATTTACTCATATTCAACTTGTTCATAAAGACTTGTGCTACGATGCTCTTGCAATTAAATTTTCGTATTAAGATTTATTTATTGTGTGTGTATGGGCGCGCGCATATATATGTATGTATCCAATACATATTTAACATAAATGAATCTGACTTCACTTCTATTTGGTCACCTCTATTTGGAGCACCTTGGATGAGGCTAATGTCGGTAAGTAAACTTTAAAAACCTAGATCTCGCATAAATTTCAATGAAAATAAATATTACTGTGGCGGACGAAGTCCACACATTAAAAAAGCACAGAGCGGTTTATTCCGGTCGAACATACCGAGTAGCGCAAACTACACGCCCAGCAGACGAACCGCGGTAGTGCGCCGCGCCGCCGCCTAGCGGCAGCGCAAACGGACAGCGGCACTCGTAGTAAAGTTACAGCAACGTAGCCTATATAAAGAGACACAGCGGGTGGCACAACACGTTCGCCCACGTGTTCTATAGCGACGTTGAGTCCTCCAAGGAGTCTAAGACTCCGTCGCAAAGAACAGCTAAGGTCTCGGACCGACAAAAAACCCTTCCAGAACGTGGGAACGACGCCATCCTGTCGAGGACAGGCGACACTCCTCCAAAGGAGGAAAACGGGCATTCCCGCACTCCTGGAAATAACCACCAGGATAAAAAGGAGCCCGCAGCTCCAAGGAGTAAGGCTCAACGGCGGCACCACCGATGAAAGAAGCCAACGGTGGCTTCCCCTGATCCTCGAGGACCTTATTTGGCCCGGAGCAGGACTCGATCCCGAGGCCACCAGCCAAGCAGAAGACACGAGCTTCGCTACCAACACCGGAGAAACCGGGACCGGCGAAGTTAGCAGCTTCAACGCCTAGTACGCTACTCCAGGAGATCGCAAGGTCTCCGCGGCCGTTGACGCCGATACCCCGGTCGCCATCACCAACCGTGCCCCTGGAAATTTACTTCCAGCAGCCAAGGTCTCAGGCACCTTGCAGAGCACCACGTGCGGAGATCTGTTTGCGGCCGTGGAAGTTGCAGAATCTTTCTATATCCACGCAACCGTGTACCCAGGTCACCCCTGAAGTATCTCATGACGTGGGACGTAAGAGCGCGACGACCAGAAAGACCCGCTCCCGGAAGAAGTAGAGGAACGCAAACATCATCTCGGAAAGGGAAAACAATATACGTACAAACCTCTCCTGTAAAGATTACTATGGGGAAGAAAATGAGCCCCCCGCCATATTAATTAGAGTCATATATAAATAAATATGAATAAACATTGTTAGAGGCATCCGATTAATTGACCCTCACCAAAGAACGTATAAATAAGAAAGCGTACAAACAACACCCACAAATTGGTGACTCCGTCAGCAAGGAACAGCACTAGGGCCAAGCGACAGTATCAGCAACCATGCCAGACAACGATTTAGCGGATAACCTTCACGTCAACAAAGTGGCCGTCCGAGCCCCACCATTTTGGCCAGACGAGCCTGAACTATGGTTTGTACAGCTAGAAAGCCAATTCGTTTTAGCTGGAATTATTCAAGATGGGACGAAGTACGCCCACGTACTCTCCCAGATTGATAATAAATTTGCACGAGAGATAAAAGACGTAATTACGAATCCACCGGCAGCAGACAAATATCAGGCCATCAAGACAGCATTGATCCAGCGGCTGTCATCATCACAAGAGCAGCGCATCCGCAAACTCTTGGAACACGAGGAGCTTGGGGATAGGAAGCCTTCGCAATTCCTCCGACATCTCCAGAGCCTAGCGAGAGCAAATATCCCGGAACCATTACTTCGTACTTTGTGGCTTGGCCGGTTGCCAGCACAAATGCAAGTCATTCTGGCAACAAGAACCCAGGATCGATTAGAAGAAGTGGCCGAGCAAGCCGATCGAATACAGGAAGTTACGTATCGATCTGTGGCGGAAGTCACCCTTCCAATAAGCGACCAATCACGGATGGAAC